TCCGTCGGAGAATCTATTAGCGTAGGAGGCTGCGGGCTCAGGGGTAAACTTACACCTCCCACAATAACGGCTCCTCGTGCATCTGAGCCGATCGGTAAAGTATGTAATCTTAAGCACCATGCAATCAGTAGCTTGCCCACCCGTGCGGGCAAGGATTAACGAACCGTCTTCCTTAGCTGACCACTCGACAGGATTGAAATTTCCGAACACAAATGACTTAGTATCCTTACCAATACTCGTCGCGATTGCTGCGAATTTAGACTTGGAGTATGAATGGAGAGGGGAACCCTGTCCGAGCGGCTGGAATGCTCGACGGGTCCGCCCAAACACTTCTTGGAGAGTGGCGTCAAAGATAGCAGCGTCGTAACAGCTGTCACGCATAATCCATGAGACCCACTTTGGTATAATCTCCAGGAATGAACCCCTGCCCAGGACCAATTGTAATGCTCGATTAAGCGCGGGCTGACGGCGTTCGCGAAAAATACGCTGGGCGAGTCGATCAAAGACTTCTGAGCATGTGGACACGGGCCAGTCCATTGCTATAAGCCCCATACTGATCAGCCCACCTATTTGAAATTAGCCATCCACTCTCCGTGTCCACACTGAGATTAATGAGGGGGCGGAGGAATGAACCGGCAGAATGAACCTACTTACCAGCACTAGGACCCACCGTTAAGTCTATCACATCAGCTACTCCACATTTCGGGCCGAGATGTTCCTGAATCAGAAGAAGAAATTCGAGCGGTATTCCTCCACGTACACCGCCTCCGTCGATAGCAAGAATACTGGGATTCATGGTTGGTGGTAAAATATTGATTGTCAATGGCGACTGAGAAAAACAGAGCGGACAAAAGGAGATAGTAAATTGGTATTCCAAGTTCGAAGCCGGCGTTCCAAATAGCTGAGCGCATTTATCACACAGCCCGTGGTAACAGGCCTGGGAATGTTGCGCGTTATGGACAAGGCAAAAGAGGCAAACCTTATTGGACTGTATTCGACCAAGCGTATCGCTGCGATTCATGAGATATTTCCTCCGGCTCTCCACTGCCGAAAGGCCGCTTGTCTTTAAGCAATGATATTGTGATTTGAACTCGAATTCAGCCATCATAATTAGGTCTTCCTTGGTTTGCTTCGTGGTCCCGCGATTGTGATTAGACAATCCACCAATGATAGCGGGCCTATAAAGCTTTCTAAAAACAGTCCGTGGTTTCAACGCTAAGTGGTTGATTAGTAAACTCGCTATAATCAGTCACATTCTCGACCCAGGCGGATAAGGGGATTATAACATTATATGATACTTACAGGCCATGCCCGGAACGTAGTGATCCATCAGTAGGGCAGAAATTAGTGATGCTAAAAGAACTTGAAGGCTGCAACCATCTCGGAGACCAACATCGAGATAGTGTGAGATTCGACGGTCTAGCCCTCGAGGTACGGGGTTGTGTTCTCTCGTAGCCTGGACAAAATCGAAGGTTTGCTCTATAGATACTGCTGTATGCCTCACCGCAGCTTGGAAGTACGCGCACAGGTGGGCTGCGCTAAAAAGA